GTAAGCTTGTTGCAACACCGAACGGCGTTCAGGAGTGCACATAAAAACGGGGGGGAGATTTAGGGAGCAGGGGACAGATACTAGGATTGCGGGGTGTGCAGTAGGGATGTGGAGGTGGGAGGGTGTTGAGCGGGTGAGGGAGGTGGAGGGCCAGGATTCGGGGAGATGTCCCCCGCGGCTAGGAGGAGGAGAAGGGTGAGAAAGGTGGCATGGGAAGCGGGATGTGCAGGAGCGTGAGAAACTACTAGTGGAGGTGTTGGGGTTCAGTAGAGAGCGGAGTAATAGGAGGAGGTGGTGGGTGCCATAGAGGGGAGAAGGAAGCAGTGAGGACAACAATATACAATTGTTTGGGAGGGGCAGAGGGATAAGTGAATGGATTTTGGGAATGGAGGAGAGGAAAATGAGAGGAGGAGTGGAAGAGGCATTTTGGGGAGGTGAAGAGAGCAATAGTAGGGAGATGATAGCAGTGAGGGGGAGATGTACAGGTTGTGGGGTGGAGCAGAGGGGTAAAGAAATGAGATTTGGGAACAGAGGATAGTAATGTGATAAGGAGAAGAGGGGGCATAATATATAAAGGTACACAGAGTGGGACTCAGGCATGTAAGAGGTTTCCCAGGTGTGTTTGCTTGCAGTCTTCCAGCATGCAGTAGAGCTTCTTGCTGTTGTGTCTTCCTGCTGCTTGAGTTCTCCTGCTTTAGTTCAACTGCTGCGTTTAACTGCTTCTTCTATGCACTCGTTCTAAGCCGCACTCAGTCTGAAGCAGCACCCCCCTCAGAGACTGTGCCCCCCATCAGAGATCTCCCCCATGAGCTGATCTAAATTTATAGGGAGATGCTCAAATGAGCATTCAACTCCACCCCAATTAGAAGCTGATAGAAACATATGTGTATCCAGCCCCATCTAATTTCCATTTATGTATGCAGGAACGTAGGTGCAGCAGCAGGCAGATATAGCGCAATCAGGATGCAGACTGGGACTGGACCCAGGAGCGTGGATGTGGCAGCAAGCAGGTATGGCAGTGACCAGGATGCAGGCCGGGTGCAGGACTGTGGGTGCAGCAGCAGGTAAGTATGGTGGTGACCAGGATGCAGGCCAGGTGCAGGACCGTGGTGCAGCAGCAGGTAAGTATGGCAGCAATTAGGATACAAGCCAGGTGCAGATACAGGTAAGTAGGTGCAGCAGAGTCAGACAAGCCGGGTCAGGATCAAACAAGCAAATCAAGTACAGGGAGCAGGCAAACGGATAGTCAGGGATAGCTGAGGTCAGTGCAGGCATTCTTTCTTAGTCAGATCAGATCAGGATACAGGCAACAGAATCAGGTTATGGAGTGCAGGACGTTATAGACCAGAAGGCATTGATTACACTGTATTGCAGGTTTAAATAGCCCGCCTTGCGGTGATGTGTATTGCTACTGTGCAGGTGCGCGCTTGTACGCTCCTGCGCATGCGTGCCTACACACGCCCCCGCGCATGCGCACTCGCACCGCTGTGGGCCCGAGGGGATCCATTGCCGTCGCACAGCTGCACGGCGACAGGATCCCTGACAGCTCCGGTCTGGTGTGGTAGCAATCAGGAACGCAGTTTCTGCTACACTGGTCTGGAGACATTGTGACTGGTGCGGTAGTGATTGGGGATACTGTGACTAGCTGCACTATTATGGTGACGGTGGGATTGGTCTAGTGTGATAATGGGACACTGTGACTGGTGCAGTGTTGTTTGGGGACAATGTGACTGGCTGCACCGGTCTGGTGACATTGTACTTCTGTGGCGGTGATCAGAGACAATGGGTGGCTGTGCTGGCATACAGTTGATATCACAGCAACCATGCACTGTGCCTGATCCCTAACCACAGCAGTACAATGTCACCATAGTGAAACTGCACTTCTCTGATGACAGTGAGTTAAAAAATGATCATAGTCACCAGAGCAGTGCCCTGCCATTGTACTGCTGTACTTAGTGATCAAGAGACACTGGCTGCTGCATTGGCATACAGTGTTATTAGTACAGCAGCACCAATGTCTCTGATCGGCAGACAGAGCAGTACAATGTCACCATACTGCTCAGGGGTTTGGGATCTTTTTTTACACTCTGAGTGTTCAATACAGTGCTGATGTCAGGGGATCCCCGCGGCGCTGGTCCCGGCGCAGGCGCAGTGCGCCGCCTTGTGCAGGGACGCGGGCACTAGGTCCTGGCCGGCCGTGGCTTCCGGGTTCACGCATGCGCACTAGGAGCCGCGGGGCGCGCACCTGGCACCAATGACGGCGCAGTGCGCGATACTTAAACGGCTCTGAGCTGTCATTCAGTGCCCTCTGGTTTACCTGCATTCCTGATCCTGTGAACCTGTATCCTGTAAGTTGCTGACCTGGATTGTACCTGACCACGCTGTATTCTCCTGCTTTGACCCTTGGCTTGCCTGACCTCTCTCCGGATGATGCCCCTATTGGATCTGACTTTCTGTTACTGACCTGGCGTGTGACCCGACTTTTCTCTGCCCACTGCTTTGTACCGTACCGTCCCCACGGCTACCGACCCAGCTCGTCTGACCTTGCACCTGCTCAGCCATCCATCCATCCCATCCGGGGTCACCCGACCTCCTCATATCAGGCTCTCCCCTGCGGGAGCCCCTGCGAATACCCCTACCACTGACGGGCGTGCTCAGTAGTCACGACCTGGTCTCAGGGTACTCCAAGTCCATCCCCACTATCAGGGGCCCTGGTGAACAAGTATCTCTGGGCTTAGATTCCGTGCTCTGGGGACGCCTGATCAGTGGAGCGCTAAGTGGTACCACCGGGCGGTCCCTTACAGCTGATCACTGTAATGAACACTTTTCCCACAGCTGACCACTGTAAGAGGAATCATTTCAAAACCTACATCATGTAGCCTTTGCTTACAAGTGTTATCGCTGTATTTGGTCACAATCAACCACATAGTACAGGGTCAATTCCAATGGCCCTATACCAAAATCTTTGATCTGCTGTGATTTGTCCCACAGTGATCACATGGTAAAGGGTAAATGTTATTGGACTTGTACCACAGTCTGTGATCTGTTGTGTCCCCCATTTTTTTCCCTTTACCCCCTTTTCCCCTGCTGCACTCTCCAACCCTTCACTCCCTGCCTTCCACACCCCCCTAGTTATTCTAGGTTGTCATTTAATCTAGATTCTGATACCATTTTTCAGTTGCTAGGACTTACCATCTGAGGTTGAGTCAGCCCACTCCTTTGTTCTTTTCCTTCACAACCTTTAAAGGTTAAACAGAAGCCACCCAGAGGCCTATACCCACTGGATTTTAGGCCTCTTACCACCTAGATCGCTGTGTAAGATCTTACTGCTGAGAGCCTTTTGTCAGGGGCTCCCAGGTATGACCAGAGGATTGTGTGACTGATGCAGGGAAACGCAGACTTCAGATATGTGATAAACAATACAATTTATTACACTAACCATACAAACATTAAACGCTACCCAATGTGCAATACTAAACATAATACAGTGGACAAACAAACCAACCAATCACCACAGATAACAGTACATACAAGCAAGCGTCCGTCAGGCAGGCCGGTGGTCAATATCAATTGGGCAGTGGTAGGTACAGGGGGAGCAAGCAGAGAATGGTCGGGGTCACAGGCCAGGTTCAGCATGGTAGCAAGCAGCGTAGTACAGAGGGTCAGGCAGAGGGATGGTCAGGGTCACAAGCCAGGGATCAAAACAGAGTAACAAGCAGCGTAGTACAGAGGGTCAGGCAGAGGGACAGAAACAGGATGCAGGGACAGATACAGGGCCAGGACAAACACCACAACACCAAGGCAGAGTCTGTGGGTCTGGCCATCCCTTAAATACCCCAGCATAATCAGTTCCAGGTGTGTTAGCTGGGCTGCAAAGTTGAGTCTCTGATTGCTGGGAGCACCCGCTGGCCAGCCCCGTCGGTACTGCAGATCAAAGGCAGGTGAGTCCACCATTGCTGGCCAGTCCATTCCTGACAGTCAAACCCCCCTTCTCAAGGAGCGGCCTCAGGACGCTCTCCGCCAAAACAGTCCTAGCTGGGAAAAAATGTTCCACCGCCCGGGTCTGGTAACTGGCGGGATATCAAAGACTGGTCACACCTGGCAGGACTCCGGGGCTAGAGGCACATCGGGCTGGACACCGGGCAGAGGCACATCGGGCTGGACTCGGGCAGAAGCACAATCGGGCAGAGGCACACCGGGCTGGACTCCGGGCAGAGGGCACACCGGGCAGAGGCACATCGGGCTGGACTCCGGGCAGAGGCACATCGCGGATGGACTCGGGCAGAGGCACATCGGGCTGGACTCATGGCAGAGGCACATCGGGCTGGGGACTCCGGGCAGAGGCACATCGGGCTGGACTCCGGGGCAGAGTGTGTGCACATCGGGCTGGACTCCGGGCAGAGGCACATCGGGCTGGACTCCGGGCAGAGGCACATCGGCCAAGGACTCCGGGCAGAGGCACATCGGGCTGGACTCCGGGCAGAGGCACATCGGGCAGGACTTCCGGGCAGAGGCACACTTCGGGCTTGGACTCCTGGGCAGTGAGGCACATCGGGCTGGACTCCGGCAGAAGGCACATCTGGGCTGGACTCCGGGCAGAGGCACATCGGGTGGACTCCGGGCAGAGGCACATCGGGCTGGACTCCGGGCAGAGGCACATCGGGCTGGACTCCGGGCAGAGGGCAACATCGGGCTGGACCTCCGGGGCAGAGGCACATCGGGCTGGATCCGGGCAGAGGCACATCGGATTACCAGGCGAAGCAGCAGGCAAGCGGGTACACCGGGCGGAAGCAGCAGGCACCGGGTCCCCCGGGCGGGAGCAGCAGGCACCGAGCCCCCGGGCGGAGCAGCAGGCACCGGGCCCCCCGGGCGCAGCAGCAGGCACCGGGGCCCCCGGGCGCAGCAGCAGGCACCGGGCCCCCGGGTGGGGCGTACCGGCATCGGGCCCCCAGGCGGAGCGGCGGGCCCCCAGGAGAGGGCGACAGGCATCGGGCCCCCAGGCGGGGCGACAGGCATCGGGCCCCCGGGCGGGGCGACAGGCATCGGGCCCCCAGGCGGGGCGACAGGCATCGGGCCCCCAGGCGGATAGCGGCGGGTGCCGGGCCCCCAGGTGGGCGGCGGCGGGTGCCGGGCCCCAGGAGGGGCGGAGGCGGGTGCCGGGCCCCGGAGGGGCGGCGGGTGGCCGGGCCCCAGGAGGGGCGGGGGTGCCGGGCCCCCCAGGCGGGGCGACAGGCATCGGGCCCAGGCGGGGCGACAGGCATCGGGCCCCCAGGCGGGGGACAGGCATCGGGCCCCCAGGCGGGGCGGACAGGCATCGGGCCCACCAGGCGGGGCGACAAGGCTCGGGCCCCCCAGGCGGGGCGACAGGCATCGGGCCCCCAGGCGGAGCGGCGGGCGCCGGACCCCCAGGTGGAGCGACAGGTCTCGGGCCCTCAGCGGAGCGGCGGGTTGCCGGACCCCAGGTGGAGCGACGGGTCTCGGGCCCCCAGGCGGGAGCGACAGGTTCGGGCCCCAGGCGGAGCGCGGCGGGCGCCGGATCCCCCAGGTGGAGTGACAGGTCTTGGGCCCCCAGGCGGAGCTACGACAGGTCTCGGGCCCTCAGGCGGAGCGACAGGTCTCGGGCCCCCAGACCCCCAGATGGAGCGGACAGGTCTCGGGCCCCTCAGGCGGAGCGGCGGGCGCCGGGCCCCCAGGCGGAGCGACAGGTCTCGGGCCCCCAGGCGGAGCGACAGGTCTCGGGGCCCCCAGGCGGAGTCGACAGGTCTCGGGCCCCCAGGCGGAGGCGACAGGTCTCGGGCCCCCAGGCGGAGCGACAGGTCTCGGGGCCCCAGGCGGAGCGGCAGGCATCGGACCCCCAGGCGGAGCGGGCAGGTCTCGGGCCCTCAGGCAGAGCGGCGGGCGCCGAGTCTTCTGGCAGACAGTGGGCCCGAGTCAACTGGCATGACCGCTGGCACTGGGTCAGACATTGGATCGTCTGGCTGGACAGCGGGCATCGGGTCACCCGGCATCAGGTCATTTGGCTCGACCGCTGGCACCCCGCATCATCTGGCAAGGCAGTGGGCCTCCGAGTCAACTGGTATGACCGCGGGCAACTGGGGCACTGTTTTTTTTTCAGACATTGGATCGTCTGACTGGACAGCGGGCATCGGGTCACCAGGCATCAGGTCATTTGGCTCAACAGCGGGCACCGCATCATCTGGCAAGGCAGTGGGCTCCGAATCACAGGGCACGACAGTGGGCACCGGGTTCATCAAGGTACCGGATTGTCTGGCTCGACAGCGGGCAACTGGGTCACCAGGCATCCAGGTCAGCGGGCACCGCGTCATCTGGGCAAGGCAGTGTGGGCACCGGGTCACCAGGCATTGGATCGTCTGACTCGACCAGCGGGCATCGGGTCACCAGGTATGACAGCGGGCACTGGGTCACCAGGCATCTGGTCATTTGGCTCGCCAGCGGGCACCGCGTCATCTGGCAAGGCAGTGGGCACCGAGTCACCAGGTACGACAGCGGGCTCTGAGTCAATTGGCACGACAGCGAGCACCGGATCAGGTACCGGATCATCTGGATCAAACAGCGGGCATCGAGTCAACTGGCCTAATAGGATCATCAGCTGGATCAGTTCATCATGCTGGGTAGAGGCATCAGGCTGAATGCCGGCATCAGGCTGAATGCCGGCGTCCGGCTGAGTAGAGGCTTTCAGGCCGAGTAGAGGCTTCAGGCCGAGTAGAGGCTTCAGGCCGAGTAGAGGCTTCAGGCAGAACCACGGAAGGCAGGTTCACCGGTTTGGATTACTGGCAGGATGGTACTGGTTGGAAAGAATTTCGCCTTTTTTCTGGTTTTAACATACTGGAGCACTGCAAGTAAACGCAGGTCTGCAAACGAATGGAGCAGTCTGGAGACAGAGAAGAACTGGAGGATGGAACAGGAAGAGGGAGGCAGTTGCTACAGAGGGCTCTTTTACAGGGTTAAAGGCAGGATAGGTGCAGCGAGTGGGGAACAGGGGACTGACATGCGGTAGATAGCAGGGCAGGAGGAGCTGTTGGGAATGCAGGAAATAGAGTTTTGAGGAAATAGATTAGAAGCAGGACTGGGTCTTTGTAAGTGACTGAGGCTGGGTGCAACAAATCTGTCATGTCTGCGTATGGGTTGAACAAAGCTGAGCTTACACAAAGCTGTCTGTGGTCAATGACTGCACTGCGTTTATACAATCTCTTAGTGTCTGTGTCTGGTGAACATGTGGAATAACGCTCAGAAAAGTAACCCACATCATCCTCTAATAACACACCAGGGACTCAACCTGGTCTTGCACTAAATGGTGGCAAAATTCATCCCTGCATTCGGGGGGAACCAGATGAAACCAACTCAGCACAAACCTCAATCAATGGCTGCACCTCAGAGAACTCTGTGCCCTGATCTACTAGAACATGAGCGAGCCGTATACATTCTAGCAGTTCATCCCGGGTATACTCCTTCAGAGTTTGATAAGCATACTCCTGTCATCAAACACTAGCAGATATAATATTATTCAACCTCATCAAGATCATCCTTCCCATCAACAAGCAAGATGGCTTCCCTGTGCAGCCACTTCTGGTCAGGATTTGCCTTGGTGTAGTGTCAGGGCTCCCAGGTATGACCAGAGGTGTGTGACTGATGCAGGGAAACGCAGACTTCAGATATGTGATAAACAATACAATTTATTAATCACTAACCATACAAACATAAAACGCAGTGCAATACTAAACATAATACAGTGCAAACAAAACCCAACCAATCACCCACAAGATAACAGTACATACAAGCAAGCGTCGTCAGGCAGGCCGGGTCATATCAATTGGGCAGGTAGGTACGAACAGGGGGAGCAAGCAGAGAATGGTCGGGGTCACAGGCCAGGTTCAGCAAGGTAGCAAGCAGCGTAGTACAGAGGGTCAGGCAGAGGGACAGAAACAGGATGCACGGGACAGATACAGGGCCCAGGACAAACACCAAGGCAGAGTCTGTGGGGTCTGGCCATCCCTTAAATACCCCAGCATAATCAGTTCCAGGTGTTAGCTGGCTGCAAGTTGAGTCTCTGATTGCTGGGAGCACCCGCTGGCCAGCCCCAGTACTGCAGATCAAAAGGCAGGTGAGTCCCACCATGCTGGCCCGTCATTCCTGACACCTGTTATACTATGTCCTTTCTGTTGGATATTACATTTGTAATTATATGTTAAAAAGAAAGCATGCTTTGCAAATGAATTTATCATAAGTGAACCTGAAATACAGTGTTTTGGAAAAATACAACACATACATTTTTTTAAGCTAAAACATAATTGTAGTTTTCTTTTAAGACTCATGCACATGGGACATCATTAAAACACGCCTACCAAGGCTAGATCTTGCTGCTGTCCCTACACTGTGCACATGTAATATTTCTGTAACATTTCCATGTTGTACACCACATACAACACCAATGAACACTATTGCTTGCTAGGATGCAGGCAGCTCGAGTACACCCGGAGAAAGGTAAGTACAGGGCAGTGGCCTCTAGATGGCAGGAAAGTTTCTGTTTTTCTCTGTTTCTTTTTTTTTTTTTTGGGGGGGGGGGTTATGAATAACAGACATAAAGAGATGAGTAGGAGGAGATCTGAAGGGTGTTTTTTATATGTATTTAAGACCTTAATCAGTTCATTTGTATCAGCTGCACCTTTCAGGTATTCATCCAACAGTGATATGTACAATGCCCTTCCTTAATTGGCTGGTACAGTTATTTCTGATTGGGTACCATGCAAGTAAGTATCTCCAGTATTTCCAGTTAAAAACCTGTTAGTGAATATTTAAATTATCCTCGTATAATACCAATTTGTGTTAGTTACAATATAGTTAGGTCCTATTTAATTATGAATATGCTGTGTTATTTAAAATTATGCTCTTCTTCTTCAGGTACCATCCATGGGAACTCTATACAATCAGATCTGGCACACATGTACAGTGAAGTTGGGAAGACTGTGACAATGAAGTGTAATTATTCCACCAACACAGTGATCAGCCAAATCTGTTCTGGTATAGACAGTATGCTAACCAGATGCAGTATATTCTGTACCGTGGAGCCGAAAGTATGTCTTCTATGAGACATGATGGAAATTTCAAGACTGGAAAATTTGAATCTGAGACCAGCAAGTCCACTACCAGCTTAACTATATACGACATGACTGTGTCTGATTCTGCTGTGTACTTCTGTGCTCTCAGAGCTGGTGCACAGTGTGACATATACATTGTAAACCCATCAAAAACCTCCTCCTCACTACCACTCTTCCACCAGCAGATGCCAGAATCTTATATAGTTACATCAATAAAACATCCTCCTACCCCACTCCTTTCACCAGCAGAGGCAGAATTCACCTTACCTTATTATAAAGACCCTGTAGTAAGGAAACTAAACCAGGCAGCCTGTAAAAGAGGAGAGATTCAGTGTTCACTTCTCCAGCACGTGCTGAGTTCAATTCTCACTCTTTAGAAGAGTGCCATAATAGATCTATCTCCTCCTTTGCAGCGAATCATTAAGAGCCATGAAGAAATTTGCGCACTTTATATTTATTATTCTGGCCCTTTCCCAGGTAACACTGTTTACTTTTAGTCTGAAAAGTGTTGAAATGGTAGTAAATGCTGTATTTTAATGTATTGTTTTTTTTAAAAAAATTTCATTCGTTTTGTGACTATTATTTAGTTTGTAATTGTTTATTTAGTGTTATTATTTATATTGTATTTATTTATTTGATTAATGTTTTGTAATGTTTAATGTTTACATTTCTATGTCCTTAGAACTGGTCACAATCTAGTTCCATTACTGTGTTCGTTGTGATATTAGATGTTGGATGAAGATCTGCACATCACATAACATGAATGTCTTCTCTTGCAGTGAAGGTTTTGGCTGACACTATTAAGACAAACAGATCCTCAGGTGTTGGGTGAAGAAGGAAGAAATGTGACTCTCTCCTGCTCTTATCTCACCACATATACATCTGTTTATTACCTTTACTGGTACCGTCATTATCCGGGAACCCCTCCACAGTACATACTACATAAAGCTAACCAGGGCAGTCTCTCCAATACAGCTCCATTTGCTGATGGAAAGTTCTCATGTGAGGTGACAACAAACTCTACTACACACTTGTACATGAGTGATGTGAAGACGGAGGACTCAGCCAGATATGTGTGTGCTCTACAGGCAGCACAGTGTGACAGCAACCAGCTGAGATCTGACATAAACCTCACACTGAGCAACTGTACCGGGGATGGGAAAGATATTAAAAGATGATCAGATATTGTTTTATCTGGGTTAAGACAGCGATGAGTAGATATATCAGATAAATAAATTGTCGTATAAATTTAGAAAACAGGTGTAAATAAAGAATTGGTTTTGCAATGTTAAGAGGCTAATGTGTGTAGGGGCCCGGACTTAGGTAGGAGGGCCTTCCATCATGTTCCTTCATGAGCACCAAGTGTAAGGTGACATAAGAGGTCTACCCCAGGGTGGGTTCTTCTGTGCTATGCTGGGCACTGTGTAAGGGGTCACTTGCCTTGCACATGGGGTAACTTTACTGTGCAATGGTCATCAATCCTTGAGACAAGACAGGGACCGC